GCGGCGGTTGCGCATCTTGCCGCGGCCGGCGCGGATCTCTCGGGAGTCATTCACGCGGTTCACATCGTCGACCGCACCAATCGCCTTGAGGAATGCCATCGCCTCCTTCGTCTTCTCGTACCCCTGCACGGCGTCCTCCACCACCAGCGGCACCTCTGCCACGTTCTCAATCTTGTGTCCGCGGGACATCACAAGCGCGGGCACCGATGAGGCGGCCAGGGCGGACACCACGGCAAAGCGCTTCTGGTGGAGGTTGATCTTGCGGTGCCAGCGGCGGAATATCTTCGTGGGGGCAAACATGCGGCCGCCACGGCACATGTTACCGAACGCACCCGCGCCTGACGTGCTTGTGCCACCACCACCAATGCGGGGGATACGAGCAACAGCGCGGCCGGTGCCCCACGACTCCGCGGAGTGGTTCATCCCGGAGAGGCGGTTCACCGCGTACGCCTGGCGTGAATTCTTCGCCATGTTCGTGTGCACAAACTGCACAATGTCGTGACGAATGGGAGCAGTGAACACGGCGGGCAGCGGGCAGGTGCCCACAACCTTGTCCTCCGACGCGGAGTACACGCTGACAGACGGACGAGCAGTCATACCTGGTTGTTGTAGTTGTTTAGCGACAAGAGGCCTATATGCGCAGAAACCAATAGGGGGATGAACATGGGGAGAAAAAAAAAGGAAAAAGAGGTGGAGACGTGGCAACAACAAAACGGGGATCTGCAAAAGTTCTCCAAGCAAAAACGCAGAGAAAAGGGGGCATCAATAACCATATGAATAGGAAAAGAACTATAACGACACGCCGCATCAGGCAATGTAAGCTGTGTCATCTTCGCCACCACTGTTGATTGACAATGTGATTTCGCCAACCCTCACTTTGTCCGGTCAAGGGCACTCTAGTCAAGCCATCTTCACCACAAAAAAAAAACTCAATATACCTCACAAACTACGCACTTACTCTCCTTAACCCAACTATGAACACTTATTATTTACTCAGGCAACTTTAAAAAAAAAAAGGGACAGAGAAGGGAGAAAACAAGAAAGAAAGGAACAAAAATGGTTTCTCCAAGCATCTCCAAAAAAACGCAGCAAGGTGGCGGGTGGTAGTACGCCAAAAACAACGGCAGCAACCAAAAAAGTTTTTTTGAGATGTTGGTTTGTAAATGAAATCATAAAGTAAAATTAAAAGCACTATTCAGTGTGGCTCTCTTTCGCTCAGTAGTTACTTCTTCTTGGCGCCGCCGGCAATGGCCTTCTTGGCCTTCGCAATGCGCACGGCCTTGGACTTGTGGCGGACTTCGCGGTTCTTGCGATTGCGCAGGCCCTTCACCATCGCCGACTCCTTCTTCTGGAAAGGATTCAGGCGCAGGCGCAGGCGGCGGTTGCGGAAGCCGTTTGTAGGCTGGGTGAGCCGGCTCGCCTTCTTCGGCTGGAGTTTCTTCGGCTTCAGCACGCGGCGAACCTCCTCGGACTGCATAATGCGCGTCACGTCGGTGTTCGTCAGCATCGGGGCGGGCAGCATGAAGCCCTTCTTCACCGCGGAGGCCTTCGTGAAGGTGCCAAAGATGCTGTCAAGCTTCTCGAATGCGCCCTTCGTCCAGACAACGAAGCGACCAACGTGGCCACCTGGGGCGAGGTGCAGCAGGTTCAGCGCGTTCACGTTCGCCAGGTCCAGGCCAAAGATGTTGCGGAAGGCGCGTGTGCCCTTGTTGTCCGGCATCACCAGCATAGGGCCACGGCGAGCAACGTAGCGGCGGTTGCGCATCTTGCCGCGGCCGGCGCGGATCTCTCGGGAGTCATTCACGCGGTTCACATCGTCGACCGCACCAATCGCCTTGAGGAATGCCATCGCCTCCTTCGTCTTCTCGTACCCCTGCACGGCGTCCTCCACCACCAGCGGCACCTCTGCCACGTTCTCAATCTTGTGTCCGCGGGACATCACAAGCGCGGGCACCGATGAGGCGGCCAGGGCGGACACCACGGCAAAGCGCTTCTGGTGGAGGTTGATCTTGCGGTGCCAGCGGCGGAATATCTTCGTGGGGGCAAACATGCGGCCGCCACGGCACATGTTACCGAACGCACCCGCGCCTGACGTGCTTGTGCCACCACCACCAATGCGGGGGATACGAGCAACAGCGCGGCCGGTGCCCCACGACTCCGCGGAGTGGTTCATCCCGGAGAGGCGGTTCACCGCGTACGCCTGGCGTGAATTCTTCGCCATGTTCGTGTGCACAAACTGCACAATGTCGTGACGAATGGGAGCAGTGAACACGGCGGGCAGCGGGCAGGTGCCCACAACCTTGTCCTCCGACGCGGAGTACACGCTGACAGACGGACGAGCAGTCATACCTGGTTGTTGTTGTTTTTTAGCGACAAGAGGCCTATATGCGCAGAAACCAATAGGGGGATGAACATGGGGAGAAAAAAAAAGGAAAAAGAGGTGGAGACGTGGCAACAACAAAACGGGGATCTGCAAAAGTTCTCCAAGCAAAAACGCAGAGAAAAGGGGGCATCAATAACCATATGAATAGGAAAAGAACTATAACGACACGCCGCATCAGGCAATGTAAGCTGTGTCATCTTCCCCGCTGCTTGATGCCAGATCAGTCCCAGAAAAACGTAGTCTCCCGTTAATCTCTTGGTCTACAGACTTTAAACGAGCCTCTACCATGGCTAGAAAGATCTGCAGGTCCTTTTTTTGCACGATGGTTTCTTTCCCACCCCTGAATAACGGTAAGCATTGTTCCTTGATGGAAGCAGATTGCGGTGAAGAGTCGCCCGTGCCGTTTGTTGGTCTGTCACGCTCCCCTGGTCCTTGTTGTTGTGTAAATGATTGGGAACAAGACACGCGTGTTTTCTTTAGCGTCCCATGATCAGGAAGGTGCGGGTCAGCCGTGACGGCGGATGGAGTATGAACAAGTTTGGGGTTGGTTTCTCTGCGAGTGAGGCATACACTACAGACGTCTGCGTCAGTACCACCCCCGGTGCTTGTCATTGAAATGGTACGCTTAACAAAAAATTCGTCCTCTCCGGAGCAAAGAAAAGGGTTTCCATGCGGGTTGCAGCTCTCATCCACACGCTCCAAAAGAAATTGTACCTCCTTGGGGTGCAGTTCCCGTATACCAGGTATGGCATACCGTAGGCCAATCTTCTCAAAATCGCTGTCCGTAAAGTTCAATCGTTGCACTGTGCGCAGACAACGAGTGAAATCGCTCACCTTCTGCAAATCAATGTCATAATACCTTCGGGGCCGTTGGCGAGGCAATGGGTACGTGGAAGAGCTATCAGCTCCGGAGTGCATCGACAGCACTGGTTTGAAGTGCATTGAGACAGGCGAGAGGGGTGACTCAACGTGCGAGAGAGGATTTTGATAGGGCACCATATCCTGGGAAAAAATAGAAGCCCGCGCGGGCTTACAGGTGCTGCAATTCCCGTGAATATCGACACTGGTGATGGTATTGTTTCTTTGAACTCTTTGTGGCATGTGGGGCAGCCGCTCCGCCAATGGGGACACATTTTTTGATATCCTTCGGCAATGTTTTGATGAAACGATTGTCCGGCCAGGCACACTGAGTGACGCCTCACTGCCAGCGTCACTGCCGCCGCCCGTCCCCACGGGCACAAGCAAGTTCACTTCTGGCAGCTCCATCGTCTCCTCAACAGCGCCAACGTGAAGGTTCGACTCCAGTTTTTGGTGTTTACACTCGTCGGAGAGTTCGTCCGTGCCGCACGGGTGCAAGGACGTTGCAGCAACGTGAGATGATGAGAGAGAAGGGGCCTTCCTGGTGCTCGACACCGCATCAGCTGCTTCATTCCCGCCCACCATGGAAATGATGGCGAGATCGAGCACGGCATTTGCCAAAATTTGGCCCACACGAACGCGTTCAAAATTCGATAGCACCGGGCGTTCCTTTTCCCCGTGGAAAGTTGACGCCGGGCATTGCAGGCGGTAATTCAAGACCTCCTCCACGCGCAAAAGACTGCGCTGCACATTCTCAACAATTCTAGGAATCTGCTCTGGACGCACATGGGCCCCAGTGCTCTCCAACTGTCGCTGGTAAAGCTTTTCAACCGTTCGCAAACTAAAAGTGTGGCGTGGCCTCGGCGGCAGGGAGGCGGAGGGCATCATTTGCCCGCCCAAAAAACTCTTTATCGCCCCTTCCCTATTTACTTTTTTTTTTTTTTTTTGATCTCTTGGTTTGTGCGTAATTCATGGTTAAACAAAAAACACAAGCGTTGAAGCACGACACGGAGAGAAGTCCCATCAAAGCATGCGAAGACAGTACCCCCTCACACCTTCGCCATTTTCAGCCGCGCCTTGGTTTTGGCTGCAGCCCAAAAAGCAACATGTATCTATGTATATGCGTAAATAGGGAACAGAACAACAGAACTACGCTCTTTCTCCCCGTTGCCTTAGCAACACATGCGTGACAACTTCAATCACCTCATCCTTTCGCCGCGCTCCAGCAGTGCTTTCGCCCAGTGCGCTTAAATATGCCTTCAACTGCATCACTGTGAGTGTTGACAGGGCGTTTTGCTCAAACGCCGTTTCCACAAGATGAATAGCCGCGTTGTCAACGCCATCGTCGCCCTCTCGATGGCCTCCACTTCCCGTGCGGAGTGACTTTTCACCAGCAAATTCACTTCTTTTGGGTTGTGGGCAGAGTCGATCCGCGTCGTACGATGGGCCAAGCAGTTTGGCATTAAAGTCGTGAAAAATTGGTGCGTATTGCGCCATCCCCTCACTGTCGGGCAGTGACATGTCCGCCATCGTTCCTGGTTTATTCCCGCTCTTCTCCGGCATCATTACCCTGGATTCTGTCGCTTGCCGCAATGCCATCTCCTTGAGGGCCTGGTACCGAAGTTTCAGCGATGGATTTGGCACCGCGTTGATGTCGTACGACACGGAAAGGCAAGAGACAATGCCTGCCGCTAAATCCACATCCTCCTGCGATGGAATCGTTGCGGGGTTAAAACATGGCAAGGAAGGCACATCACGGATGTCCTCAGAGTACGGTAACGGCACGACATATAGGCCTAGTCCATTCGCAGGGAGACTGCATGTTGGAACGGGCACGGCTGGAGATGATGGTGCCAGCGCAACGAGCCGAGGCGCTGCTCCGCGCCGGGCCACGTACTGCGCGACCGCCACTTTATTTTGTCGCACAAGTGTCCGAGTCAGTTGAACAAAAAGACGGAGAGAGGCCTCTCCACCGTCGTAAGGATTCGGACGGAGAAAACTCGATTTGCAGATGACATGTTTGTGCTGCAGAATGTCCTCCTTGTGCTTAAAACACAGAATGGAAAATCCAACAGGGGCACCAGCCGTCGCCGTGAGGAAAATATGTTGTCTTTCTTGCGCACTGAAGAAAAGGCGCCTCCCGCCCACGATGGTAGAGTACAGCAGGTGGTCAGGATTCACAACCGTCTCCAAGGTTTCTTCCTCCCCCTCCTTATTTGGCCTCGGAGTGCCAATTACCCTTGAATCCTCTGCTTTCTTCGCGTCATTCGTCGTTTCCTGCTCGTTCAGTCGATGGGGATCAAACGAGGAGGGCGGTCTCTTCACGACGAGTTGTGCTCGCCGCGGCACAATGGCATTTGTGCGGTGGTCCAGCCATTCCGCTTGCGGCAGGGTCGCAGGCAGCAGCGGGTGATACACGCTCACCGCCATCGTGGGTACCGGTGACCCGCCCACACTTATGCCAATAGTGAGCGCATAATTTTGAAACGGTCGCTGCGGGTGCGTCCGACGCCGCACGGCGTTAAGTAAGTGATCGAACACTTCCACCCCGCCTGTCACATGCACAGCGCCAAGACGCTCGTGCTCAATCATCCCCTGAGCAAACCGCACCCCGCGGTCTAGCTGGTCCCAAAACCCCTCGTGCTTAAAATGACGCTCCGCGTCCACGCAGTCTGTGAAGCGCACCGTATCTTCACGTTGCTTTACACCACTCTGCAGCTGTGTGTCAGCCGCACGCGTTGCTCTGTCCAACGCGTCAAAAATTGCTTCTCCTCTCCCCATGCTCATTTCCCCCGCACCAATGTTGGGGCCTTCACCAATGGCAAATACTTCAAGAGTCACGCCAGCCTCGTACAATTCCCGCACACGTGCCAAACATCGCTCTTTTTCAGATGTTTCACCCTT